ACTCCAACCCATTACCTTCTACTGTCAAAAATAATTTGATAAAAGGTAAAGTAATTCATAAGTTGGATGAGAAATATTTCCAAACATTCAAAAAAAAGTAATATATTTATAACAAATTCAGCAAAAAAAAAAAAAACAGTGAACTAACATGTTTAAAGGTATGTTTATAAACTCTTACACTTTGGAAAATTATTTCTAGTTTTACAATATAAAGAAATGATTGCAACATGCTTGGATCTACTAGATCAAAGGAAGGTATGAATATTATTATTATGCTTTATTATAGTTAATTAATGTATTACAATAGCAAATGTGTTGAATAAATGAGCATCCTATTAACTTTGTAATATTTTTCATTAGGCAAAAGGATTAATAGTGTGATTTTATAAGTTATAATGTAATTACAAGTCGCAAAGTTCAATGCAAGCTTTCAACATTCTGTAAATATATTTTTTACAAATAAAATATTCAATTCAAATGGGGATATAATTTTTTAGATGATATTATGATTAGAGAAATTATATTTGTGTTGCTTCAAACTATAGGTGCATTTTATTATTTTTTTTGTTACAATGGCAATAGAAGTTTTCAATCTAGCATTTTGATATAAAAAAATTTAATAGTGGTGATCAGCGTAGTAATAAAATTATCCAATCAATTTCATTATGCATCAGCCAATCCCTCTATGTTATCAACAGTAATAATATAAGCATAGTGGAATAATTTGAATAATATAGAAACTCAATTAAAAATAATTATACACTCATTTTGTTGTTATTACCAAGCAATGGTCAAAATGGCTCAAGATTTTAGTTTTCGCTATCCTTTGGTTGACGGTCAAGGAAACTGGGGCTCAAGAGATGGTGATCCGGCCGCAGCCATGCGTTATACCGAATCCCGGTTAAGCAAATTTGGACTTTATCTTTTGGAAGACTTGCCATTTAAAACTGTTGAATGAGTTGATAACTATGATGAAAATGAAAAAGAACCAAAAATTTTACCGGCTAATCTTAATTTGTTATTAAATGGCTATAAAACTATTTTAAAACCTCGAAATCATATCAAAAGTCCAAAACCTTTAAAAAAGTACTATAAGTGCTTTATGCGAGAAAAGTGTAATTAGATTTTTTTCAAAAAAAACCGAAAATAAATATTAAATTTTATCACGTGATGGGATGTTGCAGATCGTCAATTAAGTTATTATAGATTATAGATTTTCATACAACCAAATGTTTGAAGTGCGTTCGTGAGTCAAGTGAAACATATATTTAATCAAAAGTCTCATTTGGTGTTAATAATTAATTGGCAAACTTGTCTTGGAATTATTCGTTTTTTTCAATTTTAGATAGATTGTTCATGATGAATGAAAGCTAGATTTATTTAAAAAAATAATATAACAAGTAATAAAGATAAAGCACAAAAATAGCAGAAAGGTGTTATAGTTGTTGTTGTAGCATGTGATGTTGATGCCATTGCGCACATTTACAAAATGTATACGTACCACATTCTGTTTGTTAATTTGTTTCCTCCGATAATAACTTCTTGTACTCTTCCTTGGATTTTTTATAAATTCCTAATTTAATTAATTTTATTTAATAATTATTTTTATGAATAATTTATATATCAATTTATTAACTAAAAATTTTTTTTTTAAACTTTACCTTTCATTTTTGATTTATCATTATAAACATTTTCTATTTTTTCATTGTAATAAATATATATATTTTCTAAACAGATACAAATCGAATCACCAATTAAAATTATTTGTCTTTCCAAGCATTTTGTAAAACATTCGTCGTCCAATGGTTTATTTTTATAACCTTTGTAATCATATACGCTGAGAATAATCCTAGTAGTAGTTAATAAAATTATTAATTAATAATTGAGCAAAATAAAAAAATCAACCTTAATTCCATAAATTCATCATTTATATAAATCGGTAGTTTATCATTAATTAATGTTTGACTAAAATCATTGTCAATAATTCGATGAAATTTATTAAAGAAATCTTGTTGTTTTTGGTTATTAGATGAAGATGGTGATGAATTTGTTGAGAGTAAATTAAGATACTCAATAAAGTTATTTAGAGTAAACTCATCATCATTAATAATCGCTACGCATTGTTTATCAACCGAAGCATTTAAAGTATTTTCTAATCTTTTTTCAAACCTCAAGTTACTAGTATAACATCAATGTTTAATTAATATAGAAGCCATATATATATATATATATATATATGTATATATATATATATATATATATTTAATAAATAAATTTTTACATACAATTTACTCAAGAAAATACCCTTCAATTTATCATCATAGCTATTATTATTAAGGCGCCTTAATATTTTAGCAAACATATATAACAAGTAATTCCCTGTAGCATAGAAATATTCCAATTTCCCTTTCTTATCAGCCGAATCATGTACAGATTTTAAAAATACCGCCAACTCAGTTATTAACATAAAATATTCAGAAAAAACCTTTTCACAATATTTTCTTTTTCTATCACCATCACGGTCGTTAAAAGAAGAATTAGAAAAAATTTTCAAATTTACAAATTTGCTCCAATTATTTTCCAAAAAATCATTTATTTCTAAAAGTCTATTATCAAGATCCATTAATAATTTATTATCATTATTATTAGATTCTATACTACTATTTACATTGTCATTAACTCTGTTGGGCAATTTCTCAAATGGAAAATCTAAATTATAAAGATATTTATTGCCAATCAATTTACTATCTAGTTCTACTCTTCTTTTAATCATATAATAAATAACATTTGATCCTATTAAATTCGATTCAAATTGTGTAAGCTTTGAAATTAGATCTTCATCGGCATCAGCTACAGATGACGACGACGACGATATTTGAGATGCGTCATTTAGTATTGTTGTGACTTCACAATTTACTAGATTTGTTGTATCCATTTTTTAGTTTAGAATAGTATTTAAAATAATGCAATAATATTTTATTATTATTATTATTATTATTATTATTATTATTATTATTATTATTATTATTATTATTATTGTATGTATATATACATAAATAATACAAAAAAACAATAATTATATCAATCATTATATTAATAATTAATTATATTATAACCATAATATCAATCATTCATTGCATCAATAATTATATTATAGTCGTATAAAAATTTTACTTACGTATTGACATTGTTTTTAAGTTTTTGGAAACAAAAAAAAATAAGATTTAGAAAATATAATTTTTAGAGTGCACAAAAACTCTTAAATAGTTAATATGAATAGCATGCCATTACGTTTTGTTGTTCCCCTTCCTGCAATTTCTTCTAATATTGGTTAATACTAATTAGCCTATGAGATATTTAATAATCGATCATTTGTAACCATCACCATACCAATCTATTTTCATTATGTGATTATAAATAAATATTAATGAATATTTAAAAATAAATAAAGCAAACATATGAAATACACACAGTTATGAATCACACGCCCTTTAATATCCAATGTAATTCTTTTATTGATTTGTTTACTGAATTCCTTTATTGGTATTGCTTCTCCTGCTATCAAATATAAATACCAATAAATATATATTGATAGTTTGATGACTAGTGTATTAGTGATTCCATATAAATAGATAAATGGAACAAAGTGAAGTTAGTAAGGATTGAGAATATTAATGGTAACGGATAACAAATAAATAAAAAATAATAACAGTAGGGATTAGTCGATGATAAAAATTGATTGTTTGATATTTTCTAAAATATTCATTTCTGCTTTATTAATTAGCTAGAATTATGTAATTGAAATTATTGAAATCATTTGAATGTTAAAATATTTTTATTTTCATCAACATTTATTATCATTGCCGAAGTAATTGATTTTTCAATCTTGACATTCTGACAATTTTTGTTTTACCTATTTTATTTGCATGTCGTCTGTTTGTATATCCTATCTATCCGCATATAATTTCGCTGGCAGTCAGATTGTTAGGTCAAAGATGGTTGAATATTTTAGATATAAAAATTTGGAAATCAAAAGCTTGACTTTTGTATTTGATTAAAACTGTAAAATTTATTGATGATGTTTTTGTAATAATTAAATTTACCAGTGGAAAGATGATATCATGACCAACGAAGTCATAACCTACGCTTTAAACAAAAGAAAAGAAATACACATGTTAAGTTCATCAAAAGTTAAAAATATGTGTGATAGCTGGCTACAAAAAAAAAACCAAAAGTCAATCAACTTAAATAAATTAGCGTAAATAAAATCGATGTTAAAACATACAAGTCTTCGTGCCTAAATATGGTGTATAGTTTGTTGGTTGTAGTTGCCCTAAATTTGTTTTATTAGATTTCCTAAATTTTGGTATTACTACCGCCATTACAAAAAGGCTGCACAACTTATAAGCTACTAAATGGACTTTTTTGAAATCTTTAGTGTTGGTATATGCTTGCAATATTTACCTATTTATAATATAACATTTTTTTGATATATTCAAATTTGAAAAGTTAATTGTTCGTGTGAAAAAAAATAAGCGGAAGGAAAAATTTATAACCTTTGATTAGAAATTTATAATAAATATATACTTTATTACACATAATAACTCCACGTTTGCTTTTTTTTTAATACGATAGTACAATACAATAAAAAAGAGCGATCGATTATATTGACAATAATTTTTTTAGAAATCACCTATAACCGACAGTCATGACTTACCAGTTGAAAGATAACAATATCCCTCCCTATTTAGAAGGGCTTTTAAGTTTCAAATAATGACTATTTTGAGAATAGATAATTAATTGTAGACTATTATTAGATCACGTTAATTTACAGAAGAATTTTTAAAGAAAGAATAAAAGGCCTTTTTTTAATACGTTACAATTATAATTTTTTTCTTACAAATATATTTGTTCAGTTTTCCGGGCCGGGCCCTGCATTTTTCCCAGGAATTTTTTCCATCACGTAATTAGTAATTTTGACAATTTGGAATTTTTAATTTAAAAAATTTTGTCAATTCTAAATGACGTATTGTAAGAAAAAACTAAAAATGGCATATGTTATGACAAGAATCAATACTCAACAGTTACATTCTTGTTTCTGTTCCTGATCAAAAATTTGGACTAGGAAGGAAAAAAATATTTCTAAACTTAATTAATACTAATCAATAATAATAATAACAATGATGCATAATCAACCAAAATTACTGCATAATTGATAATCATCACATGATGATCAACGTCAGTATTTGACAAAATAAAATGTAAAAACAAAAAAAAAAAAAAGAAATAACTAATATATACAACATTTCAGAAGTATTTAGAACAGACAGATAATGGGACAATCAATCATTACAAAGTGAAGCTCAAAAAAAATCCAAAGGAATTTAATTTTTTATTACTCAGCACGTGTATTTACGCCCATTGATACAATGCTAACCAAATCTGAAAATTAGCCGATGATATTTTCTAACATTAGACTAGATTTATGGCGGGCGCAGTCAAAATATTTTCTTTTTAATATTATTAGTCATTCAATATAAACGTTACACGAATAAAATTATTATATATCATCCCACTTCAAAAAAAAATTCTCCGTTTTTCATAATAAATTTTTAGAGCCAGGCTAGAACTTTCTAACGACAGTTAAAAGAAGGTTAGCTTAAATATTGGTTATTCTACGCTGGGTCAGAAGCGTTTCTTTTCTTCACACTTATTTTAAGATTTTCTTCCAACTAGTATGCAGACTAAAACAAATTCAGC